TTTATATTTTATTATAATAAATATTTGGTTATTCGTGTCGATGAAATAATTTTACAATGGAAATATATAATCGTATATCTATTGTTGTAGAACTGTAACTCTTATATAACATGTAATACAATGACATACGTCCCAGAAAAGCGTACACTCTGTTACGTTGCGGTGAGTCATGGTCAATTCGCCATAGTTACGAATGTCCGGTCATTCAGCAATTTTAACTATTCATTGTTACGTTTTTTATCTCTTTGTACGTTTTTAAAATGTTTTGTTGCTATCGTTTATAATTAGGACCAAATAGTGGCAGCCTAATGGTATGACCTACAGTCTTTTAAGTCGTGGCTTCGAATCATGGCTTGCACCTATGAGTTTCTATGATTTTTTTTCAAACTCATCAAATTTTTCGAACAACCTGCGCACATTTCGATATCTCCAATGAACACTATACCAACTTTATTTTTTTATCAGTTTCTGTTATTTTTATAAACAGCCATATTTGTTTCCTGGTGACCTATAAGTATAGGACCAAACTAGTTTAGGCACCAGTCTTCCACCTCACAATTTCACGGTATGATATTCTTTACTTTAAATACCCTATAATTTGTATTGTTAAGATGGAAAGAACAATAAGTAATTCTTTTTTGAATTTGAAATAATGCTCCCCGAATTATGTGAAAAAAATTAAGAAACAAAAAACAATACTAAAAAAAAAACTGTGTAAAAAAAAAAATTAAAAAAAACAAAAACAAAATAAAAACACCTGTGATCACATGTGAATCCAAAATAGTTGGCATAGTATTTATTGGTGGTGTGCGTGAAGTTCCCAATTTGGGCCTGTGTGGGAACTACAGCCCAAACCCTCTCCTTGTAAAGGAAAGCCTGAGCCCCAAATTTAGACTATACAGGTTAAATATTATTATTGGCAGTTGGGCAACAATCAGCAAGGACGTTACGTAAACACGTCCCAAAGTTCAGCACGGAGGCTACTACTGGTGGCGCGGGTAGCGGCAATGACTTCTAGGCCACAATAATATGGTGTATGCCATCGATACCATAAGAATATTATTAATTACGACCACATTTAAATATCACTGTGTGTGTTATAGAAATCTGTGAATTAAATCTCTAGTGTTTTTAAACCTATTTCTGTAGCTTTTCGTAGGTATTTGAACCTAATAACGATAATAATAGAGTAACACATCGCCCCGCTACTTACTAATCGCGGTATCTCAATAATAGTATACAGGGTTATTTTTAAAATACTAACGAATTTGCAGAAGCATATTACTAACATCATAAACAACAACTTTAAAACAACTGAGCACAAAAGTGCGTGGAATTACAACTATTTGCCAAGTTTTATTGGAATCGGTTACCGGAAAGTGTGTGAAACCGGATTAATTCCCTAGTTCGCCACCCTTAGAGGTATAATATTTTATTATATAATATTTTCAAATTCAATGGGTCCACTACTGAAGTACCTTCTTTCCAACAAAAAAGAAATCATCAAAATCGGTTCACAAATTATTAATTAAATTATCGAGTTATCGCGTAACATAGTACATAGAAAAAAATTGAGATTGAAAAAAAAACTCCTTTTTTTAAAGTCGATTAAAAATAACCCTGTATAATGTGCACTCTTTTCTTCACGGTGATCACGAGAGGTAACAACCTCTTTGAAGGCTCATATTTCGTCTAAAGTGACATCTATTGGTTTTGTGTTTTAATTCTACGACTAAATCAACAACAAACCACCTATATGGTGTCTAACAGCTGTGGCGCCACGGCCATTTAGGTAACTAATTTTGCCAGTGAAGATCGGGAATTTTCGAGTAAGCCGGATTTGCGGAAGTTTTTTTTTCATTGATAAGTTATGTATGATTATGTATAAAGTTTATGAAAATTTAAATGATATATGATTGTCCGTATAAACTACGTTAAAATTTACAAAAAACCGGTGGTCGTTCTTTTGCAATACATTGATAAACAAAGTGGTTAGTGGCGGTAACCATCGTTCAATAAGGGTACAGTTTTTTGTACGAAACACATGCTACAATTATATTTGATTTATTTTAGATAATGGCGAGAAGGATGTAATCCGGAAGGGTTATTGAATATATTTTGTCAGAACATATTAAATCCGTTCTGGTAATGATATCAGTGAGGGTGAAGATGGTTCGGATATCATCCACCAATGAGGATCAAAAAAAACCCAGCGAAATTCCTCTCGGCGAAGATTTCTATGGAGATAACTACTGTCGAAGAATTTGGCCTGATGATGATGTTCCTTTAGCCAGCTTTTCCACTTCACACCCATCACTACTACCATCAGCTCCACCTGCCTCTCTGGCACTGACACAAAATTGAGAAAACCTTACACCATTTTTTGATCAGAAGAATACGTCATTTCATGCCTGCACAAATGCTGTTCATAAAGAACGGACTCCTCTAAAGATATTCCAATTGTCCTGGACTGAAGAAATCATTGAGCATTTAATATTCGATACCAATCTTTATGCAGAACTGAAAGAAGGTCCTTTCATATCTGTTACTATTGAGGAAATGATGGAGATGGGAATCAAAAAGAGCTTAAGTTACAGATACTACTTTTTCTCCAAGCGCTGCAGCAGATGCAGGACAAAAAAAAACCTGCTAGGTCTATTTGGAGCTGCAAAATATACAGTCCCTCATTGCTATCGTGAGGGTAAATCATGTTTCAAGGATCAGCATAAAAATAAACTTCTTATGATGATCTTCAAAACATGTTTACTGCTCCGAAGCTCTGAACTCATGTCTTTTGGCATAAATTCTGTGCAAATAACAACTTCAATATTGAAAATAAAGCTCTTTTTTTTTAAATTAATTTTTATCAATTTTCCAAGGTGGTTACTAATAGTGACCACCTCCTACATAACACCCCAGCATGCGAATCACAAAAAAAAGGTCAAGAATGCTTATAATTAATCCCGATTAAGTAAAAAATATTTTTAATCTGATAATAAAAATCCGTGCCGCAAAGAATTAAGTATAATGTAAGTAAGCAGCAACCCGTAGAGTTTCTCACTCATTCATCTCAGGGGAACCTGTTTAGTCTATGTGACGTTTTCAAGTGTAATTTGCTTACCTATTAAATAATATCATTTGAGTTTGGAGAAACGGAATTAAAACTCCAGGGTGTTTTCCAGAACACCCAAACCAGGGCCAATTTAGAAAAGTGCATTTCCCAAATTGGTCCTATCAGGACCTTTTTATATAGCACCTGTCGTGCCACCGGCTAAACCACCTAGGTGGTCAAATGACGTAATTTCAATAAAAACAATATAATGTAAAACATTTGTACAAGTATTCATAAATTAAAGTTTATTAAACAATATTTAAGTGTTTTTTTTAATTAAAATTTAAAATAATAGCTGCTTTTTAAACTTACCTTCTTTTTACTAATTTAGGTAAACCACAATCTCATAGAAGTAAAATGTGTTTTGGTTATTTTAAAAAAGACGTGGAGACTCTTTTTTTTTGTATACGCGTTGAAAACTTTTGATTCGCATTTTAGCAAACAAAAAAATACTAACATCTCCAGTTTTTACCTTCATTAGATAATATCATTCTCTAAATTGGTCTTATCGGCTATCAAACTTGAGAGCTTCTCATCGAGCATCTATAGTATAAATAAATAAATATTAGACAACATCACACACGATGTTTTGATCTCAAAGTAAGTAGCTAAAGTACAAACACCCAGGCCCGAGAGAATATAGAGAAGTTAATTTTTCGACACTGAACCGGCCGGGGATCGAATCCGGGACTTCAGAGATGGCACCACCATGACAACCGAGATTGTCAAGTATTAAATATTATTGTTGTAAGATATTATTATTATTAAACTATTTAATTAATATTTCCTACAAAAATAGAGTTCAGTTTTCGCAGCGTATACAATATTTAATTTAATGCATTTCTGTGACATTCAAGTAAAACTAGAAACAGAGATTTGAGGTTTGCCTAGAAAAAATATATACACCCTATTTGTACTAACTACGTAGATATAAAAATACTGGAAGTTACATTTTGTATCACATTTACAAAAGGAATGTATAACCGCGGGGAGGGAAAGTCTCCTTTTTCTACAATTAACTAAGTATAATATAGTAAAGTCGAACACAAATGTACATAAAATGAAAATTCCCCATTGTAACTATTTACGTGGATACTGAAAACTGACAGTTTGTAATAATTTCAAATAGCTTTAACTTTGCCTCCCCAGTGGTTTGTTGTATAATCTATTAAGAATAAATAAAGCACTAATTCTATTAATAAAACAACAATCTACTAATTGATGTATCGTAAAGGGCACACAAAGTATAACATTTTGCAATATATTTTAATAAATCCTAATTATACTTATTCGAATCTTAAATTAAATCGATATCTCCAATGAACACTAATTTTATATTTTGCTAATTTTCTGTTAATTTTATAAACAGCCATATTTATTTAATATAATGTTCCCCGAATTTTGTGAAAAAAAAGAAAGAAAAAACAAAATTCGAAAAAAACAAAAAGAAGAATTATGTGAAAAAAAACAAAAAACAAAATAAAAACAGAACAGGTCCAAAAATTAGTTAGCATAGTGATCATTGGAGATATAAAAATTATTACGTTAAATATTAAAAATGGAATGGTCTTACTTTTGTGGGCCTCATGCTTCACATAGCAGATAGCAACAGTATCCAATAATAATTGATATCTGAAAGAAAAGAAAATCACCTTTAATAAACAATTACATAAAATCTAAACAACGGCTAACTGGCATTCAGTGGTACTAATTTTCAGGTTCAATCTCGTATACCATTAAATATTATCACTTGGTTAAATAGTGAAATTAAAAATGAAAATGACAAAGAAATATGCCGTAGGACAAATCTAAGTGGATTTGAATGGATTGGATTTGGAAAATAATACTAAAAAAATAATTAAAAGAATCTTCTCGACACTTACCTCACCCTAAAGCGCCAGCAGCAAATGATGCGACTATAACTAGAAGCGACGTGACGATTCCGCTTGCTCCAACATGCGCGCCGTACACGGCACCGGAGTCCGCTGGGCCCGTGCCGAACGTGTCCGCTGCCGAGATTGTTTCTGTGAAACGCGACCACCGTGAGCGTGACACGGTGGGCGTTTCTAGATTTGGGCTTTGTATCTTCGGTTTTTAGATGGGACCTCTGATAGTTTCTTTATTTTTTAACGTTTATTTAATGCCAGAATACAAAATAGAAAACGCAGTATTTATTTATAAAGGTAATGTGATATACTGTAAAAAAATGTGCTCTAATAATAGCGGCAGAAGGCGTTATTTGTAAAGTTGTAAGTTTGAATTGAACATAACATCTGTTTTATTTATTTCATTTAAAACATTAACATTAATGAAATTCGAAAGTTATTGTTTCAATACTATGACAAATCTAAATAGAATTTATTAAAAATATCGTTTATATAGAAGGTGATTCCTAAAGTTACAAGTTACGGTGAATTTTCAATTGCAACTTTTAATACGGGACCCTTTCAAAATCTATAAATATTTACCACTAATCAGCATTAAGAGCTTTGCTTCCTCTAATGCGTAAGGCAATGGAAAGAATTTCACTACCGGTAACAGGACTTGAATTCGAAAAGCAACATTTTTGAGTAACTGGCACAATAAATAGTTATGATAATGAGCCAGATAATCACAGCCGTTTGTCATATTTAGGCACTAGCCACGTGGCATATTTAGCATTAGCCACATGGCATATTTAGGACCATCCACATGGCATATTCAGCATTTGCCACATGGCATATTTAGGCCCTGCCGTATGGAGTATTCAGCATCAGCTACATGGCATATATAGTTCAAGACACGTGGCATATTTAGCACCAATCACATGGTATATTTACCATATCAAATTCACGTATGACTAGTGCCATATACGCTATTTTTATTTTTAAATGTATTTTGTCAGTTTCCCAAAATTTATTGCGATATGTAACAAATCACTAACAATACTTAAGAACAACCAACACAGTGCTCATTAAATTGAAACAAATTTGTGTAAACAACAAAAGAAAATGTTTTTTAAACTCCATATTAGGAAAAGTGAAAATTTAAAGTCCACTAGCTTCTATACAAATTTGACTGCAGCTGTTGACAGAGTTGTCAAAATTACAAGGAAGCCTTGTATCTAATACTTGTTACGACAAAATTACAAACGCACAATTTTCTTCAACAATCATTCACAATAGCAACAAAACTGTTGCAAAATAGAAATGGGCAAAAACAGAAATAATTTCCAAATTCTTAATATGTATGCGTCTTTTATATACTCCAAGGTATATAACAAGCACTTACTTTTGTATTAAATAAAAGATATACTACATACTAAATTCGCTAATATAGAAAAACTAAACTACAAAAGTTAAAGCTAGAAAATTACATCGAAAGCCGCGCTTTGGGGTTATAAACTAAATTAATTATCACAAAATCCAATATTGCCCACAAATAAATACATAAGTATATTGCATTATTTACCGCAAGCTACAAAACCCATTAGTCTAAATACGCCCGCCATTACATCATGCAGTGCTAAAAAAAATAGAATAAATTTTTTTTTGGATTCAAAATAGGGAATATTTGTTTTTTCAGATAAACTAACATTTTGGGCTCTTTACAGATTTCATGTTCATCGTCATGGTTTATTGGTTTGAAGAAACAAATATACGCCATTTTAGATCGAAAACATAGTTTCAAACTGAAATTCGATAAATAAGTTATAAGTTCTGAAACATAAAGTGCACATTTCATTTTCACGGCAATCAAATTGTAAAGACAAAGAAAAAAACACACAAAAACGCAGACGGATTTTGGTTTACCATCAAATAAGGGTAGGGAATAATGTAATGGTAAAAAACTAACTTCTGTCCGCTAAAAATTGTTTTCATATTGTTTCTGTTTGTTACAATTGCGACCATTCGTTCTAAAAGAAACGTACATGTGAAAACGTACTTATAAAAAGTATAAAAAATAAATACGCAAACATTTAATACGTGCATAAGAGCCTCATCACACAAGCACCGTTCATTGTTACGATCATTTGATCCCTTGCGAGGTATGACTCTAAGTTCTATTGTACAAATGTGTAAAGAAAAAAGGGAGATACCACACTTATTCAAACGGATAGCATTAAGCCGTTTAGAAAAAGCTTTACTTTGCGATTCCGGCTCAAGTCGATTTCTTGCATAAAGTATGACTACTTCCAAAGGCAAAGTACGGTAAGCCACTTTAAAAAATGAGCTTCAACTTCGATTAAGCCAAAATGGCAAGTATTCACAGAACATACTTTATCTAAGTTTAAGCACAGAATTAAATGAAACTTTCGTGTTTACTACGTAATTTCTAAATTAAACGTTTTGCAAATACGAAAACATTTGCTTGGATTGCAATATTCGCTGTCAAAGTTGGTTTTATAAATGTCAAGCCTTAAAATGCAATTACAAACTGTTTATAATTCTACATCACATGTGTGGCCTTACGTACATTTATTTAAATATGAGCACAGGTAATTTCTAGTGGACTGTCATATTTATAAGTTATGTTGATGAACTTAAAATCTCTCAGACCTTGTGGGGTGTAATTAAAGGAGCCACCACACTTTTCAACATAGAATTGAGCCGAACAGAAAAAACTTTATGTCCACGTAACACGAGCGAAAAAACAAACGTCGGATTTAAACTACTAATGCGCATAGTCGTTCACTCTTATATAAGGCTAAGTATAGAAGATGAGGGATTTGAAATTATAATCATATATGACCGATTATGTAGTTATTTTTTCTTTACGCATGACAATAGCATCCAGATAGTTATCATTTAAATAATTTTGTAAAAAAAATGTGGTTTACGCCATCTTTGCGCCAATAGACTAATTTATTATTATTATATTTGGAAAAAAACATAATTTAGTTTATGACATACTGTTTTGTGTATGTGTGTAACTACTTACAGTACTTGGTATTGATAATGTAAATATATAAATTAAAAAATAAAAGCATAGACAAAGTTTTTTCTAACTGCCTCGAGCCGTTTTTTTAACCAGTGTAGTAACTTCCTTAAGATTAGTACAATATGATTCTATGTTAGAAAGCACAATACACCACATTGAAAACAAATTAAATTAAATTAACACATACCTTTGTCCCCAACTTGCACGGTGAGTGAATAGAAAAATATATATTAATACAAGCAATGTAGCACTATTTTCTAAAGTCCAAGTTTCGGAGCTACACGAATTTTACGGAAGCTGGCGATTACATTGATAAGCTACTTCATATTTACGTCATACATATAATCACGGCTTTGGATTTTGAGGAAGGCAGAGACAATGATCGCCATCTAGACTTTACATATTTCTGCCGCCAAGCGGTAAAGTGAGCATTACTGCGCTGCAGTTTTGAAGAGTAAAAGTGCTCGTGAAATTATATGCATATGGAATTTGCCAAATTATGTCTCAGAATGATGGGCGCCCTGACAGCGCCCCTCACATAATTGCGATTTAAAGCTCTGAGTGGCACTGCCTAGTGTTCCCTCCAATTAACACTACGCCAACTTTATTTTTTGGTCAGTTTCTGTTATTTTTGTAAACAATCACATTTTAACTAATATTATGCTCCCCGAATTTTGTGAAAAAAAAAAGAAACAAAAACCAAAATAAAAACAGAGCAGGTCCAGAAATTAAATTGGCGTTCATTGGAGTGTCGCTACCCATCAGACGTAAGATTTGTCAGTCCCGGGTTCGATACCCGGTAGAAACGATTCGGGAAATGCGCTTTTCTAAATTAGTTTAGTTGCTTTGGTAACATCTCCGCCAACCTCAGTGGGACACAAGCGTGGCAGTATGCATATTTATACACTCCTTAAACATTATAATTTTCTTATTTATCAATTAAGTATTCTCTAACTATTTAGATTTAAAGCTAATATTCGGTTAAAATTATGCAACATCTTTCTATAATTGAATCGTCGTATATTTGTATTGAACCCATCCTACAGTTAGGTGTCACAATTAAAATGCTACCTTCACAGTTTGGATGTAAGGTTAATTTTAAAATGACGTTTTGCCGGATTATTACAATCGCTTGTTTCTGTAAAACTCAAACTTGTCGGATACTTGGATTTCAGAAAATATACAATAGCACAAATTGTAAATGTATGATGGTGGATATTAAAAGTTAAAATTGGCCATTTGTTCCTGCCTGTACTTTGAGACTGTCTATTAATTAGTTAAGCTTAACATTGACATTTTATAAGTTCCAATACATAAGTATTAAAAAAAAATCTAACTAATACAAAGAAAATTCCTTCGATCTTACTGGAGTAGAACCAGGATATGTTCCCTTAACATGGCTACCGCTCGTCAAAGGAGCTATGGATCGAACGAGCAAATCTTAGGGCGTGTTCCCATTATGTCGTCGTTTTATTTATCATTGGACAACTGTCGCGACTAGCCTGTTCCCATGTCACGACTATCTGTCGTGACTGTGTCGTGGACTTTTTATCATTGAACGACAGTCATTTCTAGTTGTTTCCACTGGATCGTGACGACAATTTATCGTTTCACGGCAGCCGCGTTATCGTTTGCAAATATGAGACAACGATAATTTTTTTATGGTTCTAGCTCTTCCTATTGTCTTGACAGTCTGTCGTCGTAACGTCAAAAAAGGCGTCAACGACAGTTAATCGTGTTGTACTATATGTGAACAACTTCATTTAAATATACAAGCCACGACACTTAAATCTGCACGACCATCTGTGAGAACTTAAGAAAGTTTCTTCGCTCGGCCAGGTACCTTTACAGTTACCAGAAAACCGACGCAGATGTCGCTACATTAATTGCAATACTTTTATTGAATATCATGTTTTTACTACTGCTTTCAGATCGGAAAAATTTCTCTTTATGGTTCGAACTTTGTATAAATAAAAAATATACAATATACCTATCTTCAAATCGAAATATTGTTAAAAAATATAAAAACAATGGAATAACGAGTAAACCAAAATTCCAAAGTAGACCTACCTCCATATCGGTCAAGTAGAGCCATGATGACGCCGTTGGTCCAGCCGAATCCTGTCTGCAATTCGTATTCACCACCGCCGCCGACGCCACCGAATATCGTTGCGTCGTACTGTTGATTACAATATAAGGGAAACAATATTTCATACAGATGCATAAAACGGTATTTTGTAAATTAAATAATAAATATTTTAACAAATAAAGCATTTTATGTTATTTTAAGTAGCAGTAGAGTTCCTTGTGAAAGAGTTCGTCCAGGAAAGTACTGCCATCTTATCTATTTCTGCCGCCAAGCAGTAGCATTACTGTGTTCCGCCTTAGAAGGTTAAGGATGCTGGTGAAATTTTAGGCACAAGTCCCATTGTCAACTTATGCCTCAGGATGACGGGCGCA